TGATATATGGATTTCATTATTTAAATAAACCAGTCCATGAATAAATTGGGTAATTAATTGAAAGCCTTGCAACATCTTGAATGCAATTCTACAAATACCATTTAAAACTTGATCTGATAATAAAATGAAGAAAATTCTTTTCAAAAATAAGGCAAAAGGCTGGACTGATATGAATAGCAGGTATTCCTTTAGTTCTAACATGAGGAAATTCGGAAGTTACCCTCACTTTGGGAAGCATAATTTGATATATTGGTAAATGACATTGAGGAAGAGTGTATATTGGAACTATACTTCTAGCAGAAACATAGATGTGAGTTTAGACTCATTACAAATAGATTCACAATTCGTGTTCAGGAAATCCTTATCAACTCAATGACAATTACAATACCAGTAGTTAACTTACAGTGACAACAAGAAGCGTAATTATTGTATCACCAAGAGGTAAAATACTAATTCTAGGACTGACTTATTAGGAACAACTTTAGATCTAAAAACTGGGGCATGGTAAAACCAAACATTCCAACTTATCTTAAGGGATTATTAATTTGGAGAACACTTGTGGATCTGAAAAATATGGATGCTGCCACTAGGACCATAAGCATAGTAAATCATGAAATCCAAGTTAATTGTGTATGGAACATCACAAGATGCGAAGTTATATAAGGAGTACTTCCACACCAAAGAACACTAGAAGTAGTCACCTTAGAATAAGATGTAGGAAGTCTGATGTTAAATCTTCATGTAAGAGGATCTTATCGCTTCATTTAACATGAGCTGTATGACCACAATGTGAAAGTCTTAGAAGTGATCAATGTCACAGGTTACATGAGTTACCCATAGGATACCAAAATACTTTACCCAGTGAACCTCGTAACTTAGATCAGACATATAAAATATCTTATAAGACTGATAATGGGGATGCAGACCAAATGTCAATTGACCAGATAACTCCCAGTTGCAAAACAGGCTGAAGCTCTCAGAGAAGTCATGAAAGAACAAAGAATAATAGAACCTAATACTAATCCTTGTGCATTGCATATTGTACTTGTGTAGGAGAAGGATGGCTCCATAAAGTTTTGTATGTACTACTGGAAGGTGAATAAAGTAATAAAGAAGAATATATATACTGACTGCCAAATTCTGACTGTACATTGGATGCTTTATTGAAATCAAAATGGTTAACAAGATTGGAGCTGAAGAGAGGATAATAGTAACTGCAAGTCAATAAAAGACAGCCTTTATTTCAGGAAATGGCTTATGACAATTTGTTATGTTACCATTAAAGTTATATGTTACATATGAATAACCAATGTTTTCGATTTTGCCTGAAATACTCTAGAATTTTATACAAATCTACTTTGATGGAATAATAACACGTGGGAAGACCTTCAGTGATACTTGGGATAGGCTAAGATGTACTGGAATGGTTGAGGAAAGAGAACCTTAAACTGAATCCCAAGAATTTTGAATTGTTCCATCAACAAGCAAATTTACTAGAACATATAGTCAGTGGCAAGACAGTGTCTATTTTATTTATTAATGACAATACTCACATAACCTACCTGAGGTAAGAGGATTTTATGAATTGTACTCCTAATCTTGTCACTTTGTAAAATTATTCTCTGACATAGTTCATCCTCTACACAAACTACTTGTAAAACTTGTAAAATTTTCTTGGACTGTTGAGAAGTGGCATTGAGAAAACTGAACAAAGAACTTACTAATAGTCATGTATTAGCATACCCCACTCTTGAAGACCCTCTTATAATAGATGCACACCAGTGACTTTTGCAGTGAAAGCAGTAGTATTATTAATACAACATTACAAAGGACATGTGATCGTGTACTAATGTGAGGCTATGAATTCTGCAGAAAGGAGGTATTGTACAATTGTGTTACTCTGAAAGAACTACCAAGTGTTGATGGAACCCTGTCATGATTCATTTCCATAACTACCTATATTGTCAAAGGTTTACATTCAGCATTAAAGTCACTGATGAACCTTTTTAATCCAAAGACTGAACAGCAGGATGACACCAGAAATTTCAGGAGTAAAACTTTAAAATCATACATAAATTTTGATGAAATCATAGACATGAATACTTTGTGCTATTATAGAATGTAAATACTGTAAAAAAGAGGAAATCATAAGATAATAAAGACAACCTTAAAGAAAAACAGAAAATAATTCAAGTTCAGGTATTTACAGGTGATGAATAACTAATATGGTTCAACACTCAACTGAAAGGTGCTCAGGCAAAGATGAGAACATTAAGCCAATTATTCAGTGGCTTAGGAATGGTGCAGAATAACCCTCAAAAGACAGCTTAAAACGAAGATGTAGTGGCAAAATGCATTAGTTACACCATGAGAATGTTTTTTGTTATATCAAAAATGGGAAGATATAATAGACATAAGTTACAACTTTAGTTGATAATTCCACAGTCACTACAACCATAAGCACCCCATTACCTCTATAACATTCCATCAGTTGAGTTCTAAGGTGTTAAAAAGACACTGAAAAGAATAAGAGAAGGCTTCGACTTGGTGTAAATCTTGCAAACCGTGCTATAAGCAAAATGGAGGAAATGGCAAGAGCAACTAAAGCAGTGTTGTTTGAGCATTGGGGTTGATGTGCTTAGGTGTCTAATATAGAGCACCAAATGGCCAGAGTATATGCTGTTTCTAATTAAGATCTAAGCCAAGAAACTTGTCAATGAATGCGTGTCACGATTTGTGTGTGAGCATGTAATTGAACTCTGATCAGGGATGGAATCAGCCTTGTTTGCACATGTGTTTCAAATCCTTGGAATATAATGACCAGGACAACAAACTGTCATTCCTATTTTGATGGAATGTTGTAAAGATACATTTCTTCCAAACTTACTCAACAGATGTCTGAAAGGGAGCTCAAAGTGCCATTAGATCCTTTGCACTCACACACATCATGAAGACTATGGCTCACCAGAGTCTCAAACAAAGTATGTAGTAAGACTAAGGAGCACCAATGATGTCATTCATGACTTTCTCTGAGAAAGACTTAAATTGGCTGGTGACAGACGAAAAGTTGATTTGACTGTACAATCCATGTCACAAGAGAGGTCTACCTCCAAATTAAAGTAGTTGTAGGGAAGAACTCTATGCTGTAGTCAAAAGAATCAATGATGTGGTTCATAGAATCCAACAGGACAATTGATCAAAACCAAAAGCAATACACCATGATTATTTTTTAAAGTACAATGTGAAAGAATGGCCAACTGGTTAGCTTCAAATAAAATTTTACTAGATGTCAATCAACCTGCTGATGTATCTCAGGTTCCTGTTAAAATCACTTTAACTCAATCATCAAGGTTGGAAACACAATCAGGTTCTCTTTATGGTTTACCTGAAAAGAACTCCCCCATTGATAAGATGACAAGGGTTGTTAAACGATAAGAAGTTACCCTATTTTTGTAACATAATCCACAGAAAAGAAGACATTAAGTGACAGTAAACGAGTAAAGAAAGAACATTTTTGTTAACCAAAATTTTGATTTCACTTTTTCTCAGATTTAATTAATTGTTTAACGATTGTAATGTCTATATTTACAAATATTAATGTTGTTAACTGTAGAAAGTTAATTTATTTTTAATTAAGGAAGTTTAAGTTTAATTTATCATTGTTTTATTTGCTGCATTAAGACTGTTCAGGGGGGATTTATATTTCAGAGAATGTTCTAAAATATGTTTTAATTTACATGATTGTATTGTTGTTTGGTTGGTATTATATCGGACGTAACATAATATACACACAGCTTTACATCTGGAATTTTTCCAAAGTATCAGAATAACTTTTACCATATATGAATAGCAAGTCAGATCACGATGTGGTCAGTTTATACGTTTCTATTAGTTCATATTTACAGCAAAGTAAAATAGATATGAAAATTAGCAAGTAAGTGGAATTTCTGTTTGTTGGTAAGCACAAAGCTACATTGTGCCCACCCTGATTTTCTGTTTATACGTTGTTATTTGGAAAGCTAGTCTTATCGTTAGTAATGCAAAGCTGTGGAACTTGTAAACGTTAGAACTTGTAGTTGAAGAAATAAAATCCTTTTGTTATCATTAAGTAAACTGGACTTTGCACTCTTCTTTTATTGTTACCAAATATACCTGAACCAACTGTGACTTTAAATTTCAAGAGTATTCAGACTGTAGTACTAAATCTCATTACTTTGTAGTCCTGCAAGACGCTAGACTAGAACATTTCTGTTCTCAATTTTGTTGTTCATACCGTGTTCTTGATGATTTAAACCAGCAATACAGCTTAAAGGCCTTTGCTTCGTGTCCCCTGTGGGACAGAGGTAAGTTTAGGGACTTATAACGCTAAAATCAGGTTCGATTGCCCGCAATGGACACAGTAGATAGCCCAATGTGGCTTTGCTCTAAAAGAAACAAACACGCGCTTCGTTGTAGGACTCTTTCCGATCTGCGAAAACTCGAACCCCTAACAATAAGTCAAATATGATATTCGTAGACATGTTTATAATATCAAAAGTATTAACAAAGCAAAAGTGTAGTTTCTTGTTTTTGAATTATCCAATAATCACTTTTGCAATTTTGTAAGTCAAGTTAACACATTATCTTTGCTGATTTAGCACTTTTTAGTGTTCCCTGTTGTTAAAGGTTAGGGAATAAGAATTAAAAAATTAGAAATTCCAGTAGATACGTGCAATTTACTTTTATTTCATCTTTTCGCGCGCTATTCGTATATTGTTATTTTATTTTTATGTATGAACTTCATGACAATATTGTTATTTTATTTTAATGTATGAACTTTTGAGAATATTGTTATTTTATTTTTATGTATGAACTTCATGACAATATTGTTATTTTATTCTTATGTATGAACTTCATGAGGATATTGTTATTTTATTTTTATGGTATGTTTTATTGAACTGATGAATTAAAGTTAAAAACTTGACTGTAAACATGCACATTAATTTTCCGTTATTCATTAGCAGAAGAAAGAGTAGCATGTATAGAAGAAGAAAAAACAGAACATTGTCTTTACTCGGGAACAAAAACCTACACGAAAGCAAAAACGTTCTGTTCAAGCTTCAATCAGAGTTTAGTATTTTACTCCAGTTCTATTTTGGAAAGTGATTCAGACAAGATTCCGAAAGACTGTTTCAAAGGGATTTTCTTCAAGTTTTATGGATCTAAAAATTATTACAAGTTGAAGTTACATGTAAAAGAGTGCAAGAGGTAAGATTAAAATATTAACCTTTAAATCTAATGTCGAAAAGTCGAACTTGATAGCGTTTATTCTTGATATTAGTAAATTGTGATTTAGTATTTAAAGAATGTTTGTTATTCTGTTGTACCCTTAGTTTGTCATACCATATCTTCATTTACGACCTTGTAAAATTCCGAAATTGTTCTATGCTCTATGATTATTTTGACTAATTTCATTCGATGTTTTTGTTTTTGATTCTTCAGGATGTTAGCTATAGCTCTTTTCAATTGCATGGCTAATTTATATTAGTTAACTGTAATTTTATTTTTATAAAGTCTGTATTGACGTATTTTTGGGATGGTTTAAGTAATTTTGTTTGTCTTGTGAAAGAATTTTGAACTTTTCCCAAGTTTTTTTTAATCTCTCAAATTTTAGATCCCCAACACCATAGTTAACAACAACATGTTGTGTTGTACTTAGTTAACAACCTTACTCACGTCAAACTCACTCCAGTATTAGAGACCTGACGACAGAATAATAGTAGATTCTTTGAAGAATAAGGTTTAATACACAGTCATCTATTATATTAGACAGAATTTTGCATTACTGATTGACTTTGGTGAACACGCACATACTTGATATGAACCTCAACTGGTGTACTCATAATTTAGTAACAACAGCTACAGCAACTAGCCATTTCGTACATTTCAGTATTTCATCAGGCTATTTTGGTAGTTCGCTTAACAATCGTGAGTGTCATCTTTTTCTGAAGCAATGCTCATATTGATGTGAGCGTTGCGCTGTATGTTTTTATTGTTGTGAACATTTATTCGTATTTTTATTCAATAATAACATTTGCCTTCTAGTAAACTATTTTTGTATATGATGATTTTTATACGAACACTGGATGATAAACTTCAGATTCTGCCACTAACCAACTATTTTTTTCTTCTTGAATCTATTGTAAGCTGAACTTATTTGCAGCAAACATCCACCAACGCCTACTATTAGTACCTTTTGTGTTGTTCTAATGTAACTTGCGTCCTCAATAACCAGCTATCACAAAGGGGAAGAAAAGCTTCCCCTAGTGCCATTCCGAGGAACTTTCCGAACCATTAGAAACAGTCAGGCAATACATTCGTAAGCTCCAAACGAGCCCGTCAACATGTCACCAACACTTGGGAGTTTTGTGACCTGGCCTTACTTATCAAATAAACATCATCCTCCGGTATATCGAACATCTCAGTTTCTTGAAAAGTAAAAGGAATTTTGCAAATAACACCATCATGGTATAAGCCTACCATGATTTCCTATCTACCATGCGCCACTCACTCTAATACCATATAAGCCTAAAACAACAACAACAACAATGATAATAATTAGGAGTTATCCAAAAGACTCTCAACACACAATGTTATCTAAAACATTACCAAGTGAGTCTCTCATCCCACTTCTAATTATCACTGACACTAATGCTCCAGTCAATAACTCTCTTATTACCGCTTCATCCAACTCATAAGAACAGAGATAAATCCCATATTCCAGTGACACCCATCTCTCCGGAAGGGAGATAATATTCATACTTATTTAGTACGATAAGCAACAGATTGAAACCCAGCCGGTAGCGACACCTATATATATGCGAAAGCAACCAAAACATCTATTATTGAGCAAGCACCTTAAATAACGATCGGCGAGCCTTGAGCACTAGATAAAAAACTTTCCAGTATCGGTTGAAAACCTTATCTTGTATATCACGTCGATGTTCAGTTAGAGAGTTTCTATAGCATGTGTTCTAGTCATTACTTTGACATACATGAATCTGCTAAGCCGCTTGCTTTATCTAAGTGCTCTAATCTAATTAAATCAAGGAACAGTATAGAATAAATAAATAAGTAAATAAATGGATAATTTAAGAGGAAAAGTCCCCCAGTGGCTCAGTGGTATGTCTGCGGACTGGTAACGCTAGAAATCTGGTTTCGATACCCGTGGTGGGCAGAGCACAGGTAGCCCATTGTGTAGCTTTGTGCTTAATGACAAACAAACAAATTGAAATGAAATTACTGAACGTTTTAGCTTGCCTCCTGATGATGCTAGGTATACCTAGCGAAGGTAGAGTTAAAAAAAAGAAAAATTTAAATATGTTTACGTATTTATTCGTAAATAATTAAAATATCATTTTCATTTGGCACGTTTTTCATGTAAATTATTCAAACTATTCTTGTCTAGGTCTATTGCATTTTTAAACACTACATTCTTTATCTAGTCCCTCAGGGATTTTGAAGAAGTAGAAGAGTGTATAACAATAGTACTCCAACCATACTGTATTTGTCTCATCCATTGCCAACGATGCATTTCGCTCAGTTTAGAGATCTTCAAGCCGGCTGGGATTCAACCAAATCACCAGCTTGGTTAAGAATGTTTTCAAACTTCTTTCACTTTAGCTACCCATTGCACTCTGTCATACACCTATAGAGTATCATTATTTGTCTTCTCATGGGAAAGATAATTGTCAAGTCACCTATGGTATGTGAAGTTAGACAGGTATCTTTTCTACTGATAGTCAGGTGATACACGAAACCTCTCTTATATTTTATTGGGGGAATGACCAGTAAGTCTGATGTTAACATTTTAAGTAGGTAATGTGAAATTTATTCAGTCTGGAACAAGATTTCAGGAGATTCAGTTTGGAACTTGAGATCATCAAGTTAGTACTATCTCTCCAGTAAAGGCAACTGCACCTTGTGACCAGTTACATTTTAACGGTTTTTGTTTTAAATAAAGCTTGGCTATTGCGATTATACGTCTTTTTTGAGCTATCACAACTTCAAAAGACAGAGAACATAGAATTACTTCAAAGTAAGTATCTTGTCGAAGCCCCCATTATTAGCGGAGCTGTTTTGTCGCTCTGAGTGTAATCATTCTTATCTGAAAATACCACAGGTGGTCAACTCTGTATGGCGGTTAGATGATATTATCTGCGAAATCTGATTAATTCGTTAATGTCAGCATGATTATAACATGTTATTTCATTTTAATGTTCGAAGCAAAATGGGCCAAGTGTGACCTAGTAGTTAGCGTACTTGGACTATGAATCCAACGATTAGTGGTTTGCGACCCGTTACCGTAAAAACGAGCTAATCCCATTGGGATCGTGGGTTTGCTATATGATTGATAATCAAATCTCAATATCTGGTCAGTCAAGAGGAGATCAACAGTTAACATTGGGTACTGTTATCTAGCTGCTTTCACTCTAGTCTCTCATTTCAAAATTAGGAAAGGTTCTATATATGTAGATATCCCTTGTGTATCTTTGGTCTTGGCCTGGCTTAGCCTTGTAATTAGGAAACTCAACTCGAAAACTGCGGTTTGCGGGATCAAAACCAGTCATTGAACATGTTCGCTCTTGCAACCGTTAGAGCGTTATAAAGAGACGATCAATCCTACTATTTCAAGAGATGGCGGTGGGTGGTGTTGACTAACTTCCTTCCCTCTTGGAGCAGATAGCCCTCAAGTAACTTTGAGCAAAATAGAAAACAAACAAACAAACATCCTTTGATCTAAAACTCTGAAACAACCTAATCAACCAACATGTTTCTGGCATGTCACTTTGAAAATAAACTATTCAGATGGTACTTCGTGAATACTATCTAAAAACTCAGTTGTCAGCAGTTACAGACGTCTGTTACACGTAGCAAGATAATTTTAAGAGTGACCGAAGGTCCAATTCACATATAATGCTGAACTAGCTTTTGATAGTTTCGTAATAAAGAAAACTATTACAATAAATACGTATTTTGTAAAAATATTTTGTGCTTTTGTTCTGATGATTTTATTTATTCTTATTGAATTCAACATTAATATTAAATGTGCATGTATTTAAATTCTTTTCCTGGTAGGGGCGGGCCTGGAGTGTTTGCTATTCATTCCATTCCACTTTTACAAAACGTAAACAAGGATTTCTCGCTCTCTCCTTTTTTATCATTGAATGTTCTTGGCTCATACATTCATTTTCTTCATTCAAAAAAGATCTGCTTCTTCACAAATATATATATACATTTCTGAGGCGTGTGTATTAGAACCCAACAAATGGTTTCTACTATTTATTCCGTCACCCTTTCAGCTGCGGGATGCGTTATAATGTTACGATCACTCCCACTATTCTTTGGTAAAGAGTTTGCCGTGGGCGGTGTCGACTGTTTTCCCTCTAGTCTGTCTCTTCAAAAATGAGGGATTTCTAGCGCAGATAGCTCTCGAGTAGTTTTGCGTGAAGTTCAACACAGACAGACAAATAAATTTCTATTTACATGGGATTCCTTCCAAAATACATAAAGACATCTGATATCAGCACACTTTATCAGTTTGTTTTTATATGTCTATCAGCACTGTTTACATTACTGATATTCTCATGTACACTGATTTTCTACAGGAAAGAGTAGTATCGCAATAATGTATTAAAGAGTTAATCTAATTTTTGGCCTGACTGGGTTGAAGAAATGAGGAGACTATATTGATCTATGAAGACAAATATGAAAAACTTAATGCAGGACAAAGACGTCAGACAGTACTATTCTTTGAAGTGAGTATCAAAAGATCTTGATAAGATTGGAGTAACTAAACGTTATATATTTTAAAATTAATAAATAACAAAGACAGCGTTTAAAACCATTGAAGAGGATGGGACACGCGTAGAGTGGTTTCAGTAAGGACCGTGGATCGGTCTCAATGAATATGTTTTTGGTTGTGAAAACTTATCCATTGTCTGTGTTATTTATTGATTTTAAAACTTTAACACAAGTACTAATATAAACACTTGTTATAAAAGAGTCAATTCTTGTAAAGTGCACTTGCCAATGACACTACTTAATCGTCCCATAATCATAAATAGGGAGGAAATAACCACCAGGTATTTCTTAACCTGTGCATGTCCAGTATCATTATATAACTAGAGAGTTCTCGAGCAATACCTTTCGTGGGAAACTGGTATAACCTATTACGATATGTGACTAGTACGGTTATAAGTTCAAGA